TTTCAGAGAGAGGAAGGGAGAGGGAGAGAGAGAGCAACATCAATGATGAGAGAGTCATTGATCAGCTGCCTCCTGCACACCCCCTGCTGGGGACCCAACCAGGATCTCCTGGATCATAGGTTGATACTCAACTGCTGAGCCGTGCCAGGCTGGGCAGGAAGGCCAGTATTTTTAGAAAAATCCTCTCAACTTAAAACATAATTAATTATTTAACTGTGATTGTAAAAAGTGCTCTAAAGAACTATAGGTTGGGGAGCAGGTACAGGGTGGAGGGATCATGGGGAAAAAAAAGAGGAGAGAGACACAATCAAATAAGAAAAACTTCTGCACCTCCCAGCCACAGGCTCCAAGGGACTCACAAAGGTATTCACACTGCACGGGAACAATCGATCTGCTCAGTAAATTAATACCACAAACCAGGCAACTGAAGGAAAGTTCTGATGACTCAGAACCAATTCTGCAGGTACTAGCAAGTACTTGAGGCACCGATTTACTGCCATACTGTTGAGCCACTCATCACACAGCCTCTGAGAGCACATGGTCAGAGGTGGGCCTTTGTAACTGTTGAGGATTCATTGTCAAAGAATAGACTGGGAGAGAGATGAGCTAAAGAGCAAGTCACCATTGAAGACACGGCGCAAGAGGAACGTTAAAATGTAAAGCGAGGCTGCCAAGGACATTTCTGTTCATTAAATTTCTGTTACTACTTTAAAAAAAATATTTTTATTGATATTTAGAGAGACAAAAAGGGAGAGAATGAGAGAGAGAAAGAAACACTGATGTGAGAGGGAAACATTGCTCGGCTGCCTCCTACACGACCCCTACAAGATACAGAGCCCGCAGCCTGGGCATGTGCCCTGACTGGGAATTGAACCAGCAGCCTTTCTGTGCATGGGATGCCCAACCAATTGAGCCACACCAGCCAGAGCTCTATTAATACATTTACTGATAGTCATTTATTTGCTGAGCACCCACCAAGTGACACTCGGTGCACGGTGCTGATTCGGTACAACTCATCACATCTCTGCTGGTGGCACAGTGTGACCCCACGTAGAAAGGAAGGCAGCGCGCCCCATCTGAAGCAAGCCCGTCTTCCTTAGCTTGCGGCAGAGAATCAACGCCTACTGGGTAGTTATTTAAGAACGGGAGCCTTGCAGCAGCCAGCACGATCTATAGGAAGCATGTCACCCGTGTGAATCAGGGCAGGTTTTGGAAAAGATAACTGTGTAGGGAACACAGGGAGATCACAAGCTATCGAACGGCAAATTCATCTTTTCCCAAAGTGGCTGCTGTTTGGCTTTTGGGGGAGGAGGGCCACTGAAGGTCTCAGCCTTTACCTGAGAACGGCAGTCCCGGAGCCACAGTCAAAACGGAACTCCACGTGGCCCCCTGCCATGGTGACCGACAGGAAGTCTTTGCTGCCTGTGTCGTAGCTGTACAGGAGGACGCCGTCGCCCGAGTCCGGCCGAAAGGTGACCTCGAACTCCATGAAGGACAGGTAGTGCCGGGGCTCCAGGGGCCAAGGCGTTGCAGCATAGGACCTCAGGGACTCTCTGAACTGAGGAACGGTCAGGGTGAAAGCTGAAGAAAGAAGCACATCGTTAGAGATCCCTCCGTGGCAGGACTGGCCACGCTCTTTTCCTCCTGGGAGTTTAACTGCATCTCAGCCGCCCTGCCCTGCGGTGAGGTGGGTGGTGGAACTGAATTCTGGCCAGGGGAACGTGGCGGGGAGGACTACACAGCACCCAGGTCTGCCCCCCAGAACGTCCCATCCTCCACGTGTTCTCCCTTCCCTCCCCTGCTGGCTCGGTGGAGGACTCTGAGGCCCCAGCAGAGCCGCTAGAAAGCAGGNGGGTGCAGGAATCGGTGGAGGACTCTGAGGCCCCAGCAGAGCCGCTAGAAAGCAGGAGCCTGTTTCCCTGAATGACTGCGTGGAGCAGAGGCCACGCCCCCGACCACCAGCACCTCCGCTGACCTGCAGCAATGTGGGACTTGAGCAAGGATCAACCTTTATTACGTTAGGCTGCGGAAATGAGATGGCACGTAACAGCCTCAGCTCACCCTGAGCCTACGCCCTCTTCTAGGTGACATGGCGTTTTACGTTATACAGTATTGCAAAAATTTTCTCCAGTATGGCGCCTGAGGTGCAAGTCTGAATCACTGGTGGAAAAGTTAAAAAACCCTGCGTGGTTTTCCAAAATCTTTAAAGTTTCCCATTCTTATATGTGTGTATTAGTGTGTTCATGTGTTTCCATGTATGTGAATATATGTGTGCATATGTAATTGATTATATATATAATCAATTGAGAGGTGGGATAACTCAGCAGAGCAGTGCAAAGACTATGAAACAAGATCACTCCTGTCCCATCACCGGTTAATGCTCCTGAGCATGTCTCCCAACCTTTGCTCTGAAACTCTCAGATACTCTAAGGAGCAGGAGATGTCAATGCTTCAAACTGAGCCAGATACAGGCCACACAATACAGGCTTTTCAAAGTTATTTGAGGGCCAAGAGAAACCCACCAAAGCCTGGCCCAGGGGCATCTTAAAATGAAGCTTTGGTTTGATACTTTGATATTCCAACCTAGTAAAAAAAAAAAAAAGATCCAACCCTCCCAATAAAGCAATGTTAATCTCACAAACATGCGTGGGACTTTGCTAAAAGTACACTGATGAAAATTTACATCACCATCCGTTAACATGCAGATAGAAATCGCCATCAACTTGTTTCTCTCTCACCATCTTCACAGTGTCGGCCTTTAAATCCAAGGGGACAGAGGCAAACGTAGGAGTCAGCTTTGTTGGCTGCGCAGGTGCCACCGTTGACGCATGAGGTCTCGTCACAGATCCCGCTGCTGCACTCGCCTGGACACAGAACGGAAATGACCCAGCCGATCTGTCTCCAGCCAGCCCAGGGCCACGCCAACAGCTCCGGGCTCCGCGTAAGCACACCTCAGGCCCCACTCCTGTTACTCGGACCTCTCGCAGCTGCAAGCCGGCCTTCAGGGTGCGTGGGACCTTTCTTTTGGTTTGATTCTGGCGTGATCTTTCCAAACAGACACAGAGACTGTTCCAAACATGGTGGGCACAGAGAATCACATACTAGATTTGGGGCAATTTTATGACCACTGATGGGGAAGGCTGAGTCGTTCCTGCTTTAATTCATCTCTTGTTCCCACAAGAGTGTTTCAGTCCCTCCCATGTCAACAGAGAGTGCATGGTAAAAGTGTTCTCATGTGTGTGGCTCCGGTAAAGTGCTGCTCCTACTATCAGCTCAGCAGGTGAGTCCCGTATCCTTTCTGCATCGGTCACCCCTGTCTGTTAACTGATCCGGTCTTTTCTTTCCATAAAGCCTCACTGGGCAGAAGGGAAGGGCTGGGGGCATGTGTGCACTCTGGAGAGAAAGACGGCTGTCAGGGGCTGATAGGGGAACCGAATGAAAACCCTTCCAGGTGGCTTGCCCTGCAGCCGGGGTGGCTGGCCTCTGGGAATTCCAGCTGGGGCCACTGGAAGTCGAGGCAGAAGTGACCACGGGTCTCTGTTCAGCCAGAGCCCTAAGAACATCACGGGCCTCCACAGGCTCCACAGACAGGCTGACTTTGATCGTAAGAACCAAACCCTTGCAGGTCCCCGAGCTCCAATCTCTGTGGGCTGAGATTCTTTCTCAGAGAGGGGCTAATCCCGCAGGAAGAAGTGGGGTCCCTTGGGTCATCTTACATCCACATGGAAAATATATATATTTTTGACATATTTGCATTGTAGCTATTTTTTAAGAGGCGGGAGCTGGGGGTGGGGTGGGAGGTGAAAGCCAGCCAGAGTTGCTGACTTGATGGAATTGCGCTGCAGTAATTTCTTCTGGCAACGTATGCAGGCAAGACAGATGTGAGCGGTGGGCGAGAGGGAAGAAACCCTCCAGGAGGAAGCAGGGCTGCAGAGGAAGCGGAGAGAAAGTGAGGAATCCAAGAGACACGGGGAAAGAAGAAATAGCCAGTTCATTCCAGCATCAGAAGGTGGACTCCAGCGTGACCTCAAGGTTTCTCGTTCAAAGACGAAAGAGCAACAAGAGGAAAAGAATGGATGCGCTGTCAGCGGGAACTGGGGAGCAGAGGAGGAGTTGGCTTTTGCTCAGTTTAAGTATTTGCTGACTGTGGAGACATCTGCCGCTCAGGGCCGCGGGCAGGAGGGGATCCACGCACTGGTGAGGGATGGAGGCGCAGCAACAATGCGGGGTGACCCTGACGCCAAGGACAAATGGCCCCCTGAAAGAGGCCAGGATGAAAGGGGCCCATGGAACTCTCAGGGAACCAGAGGGTGAGGAACCTGCAGAGGAGACAGACAGAGACAGGCAAAGGGCCCTGGGGACCCGGGCAGGGCAGGTTCAGGAGCTCAGGGAGGAGCAGGCACAGAGGGAGAGGCTGAGTCAATACCGAGGGAGGGCAGAGGCTGGGCTGTGGGTTTGTGACGTGAGGATGATCGGAGCTTCAGGAGAGCAGCTTTGCTGGGGAAGGGAAGGCAGAAGCCCCACCACAGGAGGTTCAGACAGGCCTGGAAGGGTTGCTGGAGTCAGGCTTTGAAAGAGAGGGGAGAGGTGCCCGGGGTTCCCAAACCAGAAGGGCAGCAGGGTTATAGGAACATGGTGCTGGTTTAAGGTGGAGGGGGCCTGAGCAAGTGTGAACACCCAGCAATCACACTCCTTGGTATTTATCCAGAGGAGTTGAAAACTATGCCCACCCAAAAAAGGTGGATGTTTATAGCAGCTTTATTCATAATTTCCAAAACTCAGAAGCAACCAAGATGCCCTTCAGTAGGTGAATGGGTAAACTGTGGTGCATCCAGACAATGGAAATATTATTCAGCACTAATAAGAAGTGAACTATCAAGCCATTAAAAGACATGGAGGAACCTTAAATGCACATGACTATGTGAAAGAAGCAACCTGAGAAGGCTACATCCTGTATGATTCCAACTTTATGGCCTTCTGGGAAAGGCGACACTATAGAGAACATAAAGAGATCAGTGGCCCAGCCGGGCGTAGCTCAGCGGTTGAGCGTCGACCTGGGATCCAGGCGATCAGGGTTCGATTCCTGGTCAGGGCACATGCCCGGGTTGCGGGCTCGATCAATGACTCTCTCATCATTGATGTTTCTATCTCTCTCTCTCCTTCTCCTTTCCTCTCTCTGAAATCAATAAAGATTAAAAAAAAAAAAAAAGAAAAAAATACTCTCTTTAAAAAAAAAAAAAAAAAA